AAATTGTTTACATTATTTACACTAAAATTGCATAGTTTTTTTTAACAAATCAGAGCTACAACACCTAGTGGGGATTTTCCTAGTTAAAAATTATCAGTCATATGAAACTATATAAACAACTTCATTTAGACAGCGATGTGCCCTGGAGCACACCTCCAAATCGAGAATAATTAAGAACATGGAACATCATTAAATAATAATACATATTTGTGAGGGCAATATCACGATTTGTTGCCTGCCCAGGGGATGGTGATCAGGACCACAATATTGAAGTTTCACCGTCTGTACAGTCAGAGGCAATGTCTGTCTGGCTGCGATGTGTGCCGTGAATCAGCATGAACAGGTTACGTGATCTCTGCTGTTACTGTTACTAAGCATCCTTTAGCGGGGATGATCGGAGGGCGATGGGAAGATGCGCCGTTAAGCTAGGCGATTTGGAACCATACGTGGATTTTGGCTTGAGTTACGCACGCTGTACATGTTTATTTTGATTTCAAATAACATAGTATTTACCCTGTTGTGTATTCTGTTCTATTTACTTGCTTTTACCTCTTTTGTTAGCATCTCGTATGAGTTTACATACATTGTTTTTATTCTCATAATCAACACATTGTATTACAGAAAGTATTTTTTTCAAACCTCATGTCAATTTTTTTGTCAGTTTGAGAGTCATTATATCTACTTGGTGACCAGATTATTTTTAGATTACCACCTACACAAAGGACATAACATTACTATTATTGTGCACATTCCAAAATCATTCACTATAATTCAATTGTTTATCTTCATATTCTTTCTGAACCATATTTCCAACTTCCAAGATTAATTGCCTTTATCGTGGCAGTGTAGTTATATTTTCATGTTCTGCTGTGAAAACACTTTCCTGGTCTCTATCTACAGACATGTCTTTTTCATTCATAATCTCATGTTTTTCCACAGTGAAGTTTTTTTCCTGGTCTTCCAAAAGAAGTATGTTGGTGCTGTCTATTTGAGCCTTCATTTCCTCATCTATAGATGCACACAAATTGTCACTTGCTGGCTCACTTTTTGAATATGGTGCAAGCTGTTTATCGTATTTCTCTGCATTGGATGTTGCTTCCCGATTTTGAAATGAAGCTATGGTTTTACTTGTTTTCTCCTTTACAGATAACATATTTGGTTTGTAATTCTCTCTTATCTGGGACTCAAGTTTGCGATCTTCCAGTGAAACCTTGTTGGAATGTGTTACTTCACCCTCTGTAGATATCATCACATTGTCCTCATTTGTTTCTGCAATTGACTGTGTTTCATGGTCTTCAAATATTGCTGTATCGTCATTAGTGTTTTTTCTAACAGCTGAAATGAACAGATGTTCAACATTCTCTTCTACATAGTCATCAGGTTCTGAAACCTCGTTGTCATTTGATGTTGTAATCTCAAGGAATGACACCACATTTACCTCTTCATTTTCTGTAATGGACTGTGTTTCCTTACCTTCTGGTATATCTTTGTTTTCACTTGTCGTTTCACTTTTGACAGGTGAAACCTGACGTTCAACATATTTTTCTGTGTGTGCCTCAAGTTTCCGATTCTCAAGTGCAATCTGGTTGTTTTTTGTTGTTGCAAGCTCAGTTGATACCATCACATGCTCCTTTTCCGTTTCTGTAATGGACTGTGTTTCCTGGTCTTCTGGTGTTACTGTACCATCACTTACAACATATTTTTCTGTGTGGGTCTTGAGTTTCTGATTCTCAAGCTCAACCTTTCTATTTGTTGCTGCATCCCCAATTGATAAGGTCACATCCTTCCCTTCATTGCCTGCAGTGGACTGTGTTTTCTCATTTCCTGATGTTTCTCTGCCATCACTTGTTGTTTTACTTTTGTCACGTGATATTGGGTGTTTCATATTCTCTTCTGTATTGCCCTCAAATTTCAATAAACCCTTGTTGTCATTTGTTGTTGCATGCCTCATTGATAACGCCACATTCTCCTCATCCCTTTCTGTAGTTAACTGTGTTTCCTTGTCATCTGACTTTACAGTGTTATCATTTGTTGTTTCACTAATGACATGTGAAATCAAATGCTCGACATACTTTTCTGCAGCACTCTCAACAGATAGTATCACAATGTCCTCATCATTTTCCATAACTGGCTGTGTATCCTTGTCTTCTGCTGGTTTCCTGTCATCATTTGTTTCATTCTTGACAGATGGCATCAGACACCTCTCGAGTTCCAGATCTTCAAATGCAACAGTGTTTTCAATTGTTGTTGCGCTTTCAACAGATAATATCACAATGTCCTCATCATTTTCTGTAATGGGTTGCATTGTTTTGTTTTGTGATGTTTTTTTGTCATCACATGTTGTTTCACTCTTGATAGGCGCCATCAGATCTTCCACATCCTTTCCTGTATGGGCCACGTATTTTTGATCTTTCAGTGAAACCTGACTGTAATTTTCTATTTCACTCTCAACTGATAACGTCATATCCCCGTTACTCCTTTCTGCAATGTATTGTGTTTCCTTGTCTTCTGATGTTGTTATATTATCAATTGTTTCACTATTTAAAAGTGGCACCAGATGTTCCATGTCTGTTTGAGCCACATACTTTTCATCTTCTAGTAAAACCTGGATGTCATTTGTTGCTGCACTTTCAATAGATAACTTGGCATTCTCTCCATTGTTTTCTAAAGTGAACTGCGGTTCTTGACCATCTGATGATGCTATCACATCACTTAATGATTCATTCCCGAGAGGTGACAAAATATGTTCTTTGTCATTTCCATCATGGATATCAAGTTTCTGATCTGTCAGGTTAGCTTTTTTGTCATTTGTCATACCACTCTCATTACATAACATTGTATTTATTTCACCTAATTCTGCATGATCTTGTAAGTACTCAGTCTCATCACTTGCTTTCTGACACAAATTTGCAACATCTTTTTCTGAGTTAGACATTTCCTGATTTTCATACTGTACCTCGTGCTGCACATCACATACTTCAATTGTGCTTGTCTTGCCTTTAATGTTCACTGTTTCTTTTTTACCTTGATTATCAGGTTGGTTGGTTGTCATGTTTTGATTTTCACTTGTTTCCTCATTTTCTAATTGTTTACGCAGCCAATCAACATCAGCAACAAACAGAAGAATTTTACCTTTCCTTCCAAGATGTTCTGCACTACAGTTCGTAGGCATTGAATCTTTCTTTGTCTTGATTGATGTGACATAATTAGAATTCATTTCTCTGTGCAGTTCTGTTCTGGGAGCACATCGATGAACTTTATTATTGAGATCAGTACTATTATGCTCACATGCTGTTCCATTGATATCACATGGTGTCGTGTTATCACAAATGTGTTGCACTCCCAGTAATTGATCTGGTACTTTACCTTCATGAGTGTCCTTACTTGGCAACAGAGAGTTGTTCATACTTCTGTTATTTATTTCCATGTTCTGCTCCTCATTATCTTTGCCTGACATACAAGTCATTTCAGTCATTGCATTAGGTTTCTTAGTGTTACTGGTATTATTCACATCAACTCAGGTTTTATTTCTTTCATTATCTTGTCTGAGGATATGACATCCAGATTTAGAACTGCCTTGCAATGTTTTGGTTTTATATTTGTTTGAGTGGAACTATTCAGATCCGGAACCGCCTCACAATGTTTCAGTTTTATATTATTCTTAGCAAAACCATCCAAACTCATTACTGCCTTACATTGTTTTAGTATTGTATTTTTTTTAGTAGTGGGTGATATGATACTTTTGTCATGTGTTTTAGGGGTACAGTCTACTTGGTCAAGTGTAGAACATGTTTCTACTTGTTTTATGTAGGATACCTTTTCGATTAACACTTTTTCAGCAATTGTCTCTTTTCTTCCATTGATGGATTTAGTGACATCTGGGGAAATATGTTTTACAAAGCATGATGTATCAATTTCTGGACCGTTTACAAGCACGTTCACACTACTGTACTTGGCAGACTCGTTATTATTATCTTCTAATAGAGAACCACCTTTGTTGTCTGTTTCACTTATTGGGTCATTCTCAACAGACGTCTTACTTTCATTATGAGTCTCCTCATCAGATGTCATAATATCATTGTCTGAAAGCATCTGTTTATCTTCCATAACATTTTCTTTAATCTTAACATTCTGTTGATTCAAACTTTCCCCAAGCATTAATCCATCAGTTCCTTCATATGAATCAAAGGAGGATGCACTGCATGGGTCATCATTGTCAAAAGAAGTGAAAATACTGTCATATTCATTAACTCCTGAGGAATCCTCACTATCTGAATAGCTTCCTAGCGATGACAAGTCATTGTTAACAGTAGATGTCAATGTTTCATCACTGGCATATCCATTTAAAGATTCATCTGAAGCGGAAGAATCAACAGTATCACACATTGAATCATGTCGAAACTGTGGATCATCTAATGTTCTTTGAGAGTGAGTTCCATTGACACGCGACCAGAGCTTTTCCCTGATAGCACAATCATCTTGGTACCACATTGAATATTTCTCTTTAATATCTTTGTGAACAGAGGCAAATTTTGTTTCATTGATACTAGTCTGGGACAAATCAACGACAAGTTTCTCTACTTCAGCAACAAGTTCAACACTTTCCTGTTGTATTCTGTCTACTGAACATATTGCCTCTGCCAATCGTGCCTCTAGCACACTGTCTATCTTACGTGTGTGGTCGATATCATCTTTGT